ATGTTTTCTCCTATACATACACACCTATGATAAAGTTTAATTTATAAACTAGGCACAGCCAGGTGCAGTGGCTCATGCCTATAATCCCAGCACTTTGGGAGCCTGAGGTGGGAGGACTGCTTGAGGCCAAGAGTTTGAGACTAGTCTGAGCAACATAGTGAAACCCCATCTCTATAAAAAGATTAGCCAGGTGTGGTGGCAAGAGCCCGTAGTCCCAGCTACTTGGGAGGCTGAGGCAGGAGGATCACTTGAGCCCAGAACTTGGAGGTTACAGTGAGCTATGATTGCATCACTACACTCCAACCTGGGTGACAGTGCAACAAGACCTTGTCGCAGGGGGTTAAAAAAAGGAAAAAACCCAAAAAACTAGGCACAGTAAGAGATTAGTAATAAAACAGCATGATCATAAGATTACACTATAAGTAATGTGAACATGGTCCCTCTCAAACTATCTTATTGCATGTAATATTTTTGGATCAAAGTTGACCATAGGTAAGTGAAACCACGGCTAAGGGTAGACTATTGTATGTGATTCCAGTTACAAGTTGAACTAGCCATTTTCTCCATGGAACACCATTTTCACTTAAAACAATGACAAACTGGTTATCTGGACTTGGGTATCCGGCAGACATTTTTTCAAAAATGAAGCCTGTTACCTACCTCATGGAAAACTCTCAATAATACTTATTGGCAATGATAAAATTCAAGCTTTCAAGCAAAAATTATTAGATTTCTGGAAAATGTGTACTCCCTACTGTGAGCCTGACAGCTTTCCAATACTTAATGGCTTTTTATTTTTGAGACCATGGGCTGGAGTGCAGCAGGGTGATCACAGTTCACTGCAGCTTTGATTGAACTCCTGGGCTCAAGTGATCCTCCTGCCTCAGCCTCCTGAGTTGCTGGGACTATAGGCATGTGTCACCACGCCTAATTTTTAAAATTTTTTGTAGAGACAGGGTCTCACTATGTTGTCCAGGCTGGTCTCCAACTCCTGACCCCAAGTGATCCTCTTGCCTTGGCTTCCAAAAGTGCTGGGAATACAGGTGTAAGCCACTGTGCCTGACCCTTAACAGCTTGTCTGATGAGATCAGCAATGTCATTAATAAATAGGATTTTTTGGGTATTATAGAACAAAATGTGTCAACATTTAAGAGATTTGTATAACTCAATAAACCAACAATTTTCAAATCATTGGTGCCTGATGATGTACAACTGTATATGGGTAAAAGATCCATTCAAAGTACGAGACAGACCAGCTGATTTTAGTGAAACAATACAAAAAGTTCACTGATAAGGTTTCACATTCCATGTTGCAACTATCCTTTCTTAGGAAACTACTGCTTGTTGAGTTTTGATGAAATATCAAAGAATATCTACAATGACCTGAAAGGGCTATTAAAATACTTCTCTCTTTCCAACTACCTGTGTAAGACCAGGTTTTCTTCAAATACTTCAATCTGTTGCAAAATATGTTGCAACACAACATATTGCAACAGATTAAATGCAGAAGCAGTTATGAAATTCAGCTGTCTTCTATTAAGCCAGACATTAAAGAAACCTGTAAAACAATGCCATTCTGCACTAACTTTTTTTGTCTCAGAAATACTTATTTTTCCTGCAAATGTTATTTAATATGCAATAGTTTTATTTTTAAATAAGCAATTTAAAATTTTCTCAGTTTTAACAACAGTAAACATCAATGGATAAAACCAAAATGAACAAAATCTCTTTGGGATCCTCAATTTTTAATTGTGTAAAGAATCTAAAATGTTTTGAGAATGTATTAAAAGCAGATCTCAAAAAGCCAAAGTAGAAGGGAGAATGCCATCTAGTGGAAAAGATAATTATGACAGCAATCCACACACTAACAAAATATATGACACCTCTAACAAAGATCCACCAGAAACACATCCTATTGTTAGAAACTTCATATGCTTAAGGCGGAAATATTCAAAATTAAGGGTTTAGAATATAAAAAATACTGTTAAATACCAATTAAAATAAAACTTAAATGTGCCAGAAAAGTTCTAGATTTGAGATACAGGCTGCTACCTGGAAGACAGTCTGATGCAAAGTCAGGCAGGAGGCAGCCAGGGCCAAGCCTAAGACAAGGGCATAACAGAAGACTCAGGCTGGGGATTATTTCTAGTCCTTGGAGATGCCCTTAGGACTCTCCAAGGTTGGCCTCTGGCAGCCACTGGGGACTGGAGGACATCTAAGCTAGCAAGCTCTGTCTAAACCCTCCACAATCACCCACCAAAAGAACTAAATCGAGTTACTTTGAGGGCTACATTTTATGTTCTGGTTTCTGAAGGCTCTCCAACAGGAACAGAAATTGTTCGTGAAAACCTTTCATTCCAAAATAAGACTTAATAAGACTTCAATAAGAAATTCAAGTGACTGAATGAGGTACAGTGAAGCACATTAGTCAAGGCACAAATAGACAGGTCTTCCCAATCTTGACATGTGCCTGAGAAGGGGAGGCTGAGCACAAAAGACACACTCACATTTTTCCCAACTTTGCCTTTTGGTTTTTCCCCCATTCTTTAGTAACTGCTCTCAGACAGTAGTGAAGTCTGTTTTGTTTTTCATGTCCCTCCACCACCCAACTCACAAAGGCATGTCATTCCCCAAGGATTTGCTGTCTGGGTCACAGCACTCTAGAAGGGGTGACAGTTAAGTGCATGCACCCTGCTCTCCAGCCAACTCCACCAGGAGGCCTTCTGGCCTTAAGCAAAGGCTGCAACTGTATACGTACAGGCTCCAGGGCCCACAAATCCTCCTTTCCCTCCACATTGAATCCCAACATCTGACATCTCCCCTGGGTTTGTTTTACATGCAGGCTCTAAGTCTCATATGCCCCAAATACTATGACAGAGAAAGAATACTAATACTACCGATTGTTTTCTTTCTGCAAGCCTGCGCAGAGTTGTGACCATCTTTGATCTATGCGGCCACAGGCCTGCCTTATATCCTCTTGCCGGTAATGCTTGGATGAGTTCTTAGGCCTTGGTTCTGCACTCAGCACAGAAAGTAGCTTGCATTTACAGATTCTAGGGTTCATTTTTTCCTTCTCCTGCATACTGGTGCCAAAACTTTCTTTCTTGGTAAAACATGTTCTATCATTCACAACTTTTCATGATTTATTTCAATGGCTGCACACAGTTCCATCCTATCACAGAACCAGTTTAAATATGGAACAGCTCACACTAGACTTTCAAATATACTACTGTTTTAGATTATAATCAGACATAATTTTCTTAAATTCCAGTAGGTTGCTTGAAGGCTACAGCTGGTTTCAAAGCAGATTCTAATTGCAAAAATTGGTCACCATTCCCCAGGCTTTAAAGTGATGGGATTAGTCCTTCTCTTCGAGAAAAAAAAATTGTCTCATAAAGAATCATTCTTCAACAGGCACATTTCTAATGCCCAGTGCACAGCACAGCAGCTTAACCAACACAAGAGGGTCTTAACTTTTACCATGATAGGATCCTTAAGGAATGTTACAGGAAT